CGCCTGCCTTGGCCTCCAAAGTGCTTGGATTACAGGCATGAGCCACCGCGCCCGGCCTTAAAAATAATTCTTTCAGTGAGAATTTCATAGCTGGCCAGGTGTGGTGGCTCATGCCTGTAATCCAAGCACTTTGGAGGCCAAGGCAGGTGGATCACCTGAGGTCAGGAGTTCAAGACCAGCCTGACCAACATGGTGAAACCCTGTCTTTATAAAAAAAAAAAGAAGAAGAAGTTCATAGCTACCGTGTGTTGCACATCTAACAGGCTCCAAGCCCTCCTCACCCTGCCATATGGGTGTTACATGATCTTGTCTCACAGCGGGAACATGATCCTCAGGGAGGTGAACCTGTGCCAGGCCATGAAGGAGATGCTCTCTCTGGGGCCAGGGCTGGTCACCAGGTTGCCCAGGTAAAGTTGCCCAGGTCACCCGTCACCTGACGCCTGGCCCACTCCCTTGTTTGCCATGCATGTAGTATGCTGTGGGTGGGTCTGCAGCCCCACTAGACAAAAAGTTCCATAACTTTTTGTTCCATAACCAAAAACGATGCTGTGCTCACCCGTGTGCAGCACATGGTGCTCTGTATATAGTGGATGCTCAATCAATATTTGTCAAGGAAGAAAAAGGAAACTAGAAGTGTAGCTCGACAGAAGATGCATGCCTCCGTCCCCTCACTACAATTGTCCACAGTGATCCTCATCGAAGAGCACATACCTGGAGCAAACCGGAATCGTAGAATCCTGGGATGTCAAAGGCGAAGCCCTGACACAGCACCCTATCCATCCAGCCCTTCAGGATAGCCGGCACGCTGAACCAGTACAGCGGAAACTGTGGGCGGCAACAGCAAACAGAAACTGAGGTTTCCTAGTTTAGTCTATCTGGTGATTTGAAATGAAGCCCACAGCCCTCCTCTTCCCTGGCAGCTGGGCGGGTGAGGGTAACCCATGTGGTCAGCTCTGAAAGGTGCAGTGTGGACGTGAGACGGGAACGGAGTTGACAGTGGTCCTTGTTGCTGTTACAGGTAGCAGCTCTGCATCCCCCAGTGACAGCCCCTGATGCTGGCTCTGTACAGGCAGGGAGGGGACAAGGAGCTCTGCATGACACTGGCTAGGGAGCAGCAATCTGTGACCACGCCAATCAAAAGGAAGTCTGTGGAAAAGCGTGCCCCTTCCCCTGCTTGGGGTGTGTTGTGAGCATCTAGGATTCAGACTGAACCAGGTGCTGAGCAGCTATGGATTCTGGCAACAACTAAGGTCATATGTGTGGATTCCGTAGACCAGCAGTAAGACCTCCCTATCCCATAAATGCCCTCACATTACATCCAGTGTTACCACCTGGGAGGGGAAATGAACATAGGCAATCATCTGTTAGCAAAGGAGGAAGCCAATGTCTCATGTGCTTTCAATATAAAACAAACTCAGGACTTGGCATTGAAACCCAAGCTCCACAACCTGCCTCTGTGTGACACTGACAAGTTACTTGGTCTCCTTGTGCCTCCTTTTCCTGATTCATCAAATAGGGCTGCTAATAGCTCGCAGCTCACAGCATCCTGGTGAGGATTCGAGGACACACCCCCGTGCCCAAAATCAATGCTCGGTGAGTGGTGGGCTCTGATATTAGTAGTATGGTAGTGGTGAATGAAATTTTTATTCATGTTGAATAAAAACAAAACCTTATAATGCAGACCCTCTGGACAAAGTATCAGAAAAAAAAAGGGAAGGCAGGGAAATGCAGTGAAATGAAGTGAAACAAAAGAAAGGCTATTATAGAAAGGCCAGATCTCAGCCTACCCAACCACCTGGTTATGGGAGTGGAGTGGGTGTGGGGAGGAGAAGCGGGCGCCACGTGGCCAGCTGACCCGAGGAAGACAGGAGATGCAGAACAGAGAGCTGAGCGTGATTCTGCTGGTACCATGTGCCCCAGGATACAGGCCCACTGTACCGGCATGGTATTAAGGCATGGATGATAAACCACATGGTCACCTAGTTGTGAAGACTATGAATCCACGCACCTGTAATTAGGACAAAGAACATCCTGCACATCGGCCACATTAGCAATGCAAGGTGACTGAGTAAAGAAAGGGTTGGTGGGCTGGGCGCAGTGGCTCACGCCTGTAATCCCAGCACTTCAGGAGGCTGAGGTGGGCAGATCACCTGAGGTCAGGAGTTCGAGATCAGTCTGGCCAACATGGAGAAACCCTGTCTCTACTAAAAATACATACACACACACAGACACACAAATTAGCCAGGCGTGGTAGCACATGCCTGTAATTCCAGCTACTCAGAAGGCTGAGGTAGGAGAATCGCTTGAACCTAGTAGGTGGAGGTTGTGGTGAGCCGAGATCGTGCCACTGCACTCCAAAAAGAGAATGGGCTGGTGTCAGGAAGGGGTGTGCAGAGGCAAGCCTGGGCAGGGATGAGGCAGCTTTCTTCCAGCACATGCAGGTTGCTTTTATGAAGAGTTGGGGACATCATCATTCTGGACATGTGGTTTTGTCCAGAAAGTGGTCACATGCCCTTCACCCCCTGCCTTGCACTCACATGGTGGGCTCATGAGAGCAATGCTCTCATTCTCCCACCCACTCTCCGTCCTCAAGTGGGGTTGAAAAACAGAAACAATCCACCGGGCACGGTGGCTCACGCCTATAATCCTAGCACATTGGGAGGCCAAGGTGGGTGGATCACCTGCGGTCAGGAGTTCAAGACCAGCCTGGCCATCATGGTGAAACCCCATCTTTAAAAAAAAAAAAAAAAGAAAGAAAAAGAGAAAAGAAAGAAAAATAGAAACAATCTGGACCAATCAGATCCCTTGCTTGGAAATTCTGGATCCAGTCCCTGACACGCAGCGAGAGAGAACAGAAGCAAGAGGCAGAAAGGAGCAGATGGGAATCCAAGGATAAGAGCAGCTACAGCTCTGTCCTTGGGATCCAGGAGACCCAAGTGACCAGAGCCCTTAGAATAGATTCCCCTTGCTTTCTAGTTGGACAGGAATTGCTGTCCACCCAACAATTCCCTCAAAGCTCATGTGCGTACTCTGCTGCCAGGCTTACACAGTCACAGCCATGCGGACACATCTTCCTTGCAGTAGTGGGAAGTGGCCTGCTGAGTTAGCACTCCTGGAGGCCGTTTTGCCGGGCCAGTTCTCTCTGCAGTGACCTCATCTCCTTGTGAACCCAAATACAGGAAGGTTACTAGGCGGAGGGTGAAGGAACCACTGAGAGGATCAGGATGTTTAAGGCAGGATATTTAAGGAGTTGCATTTGGCCTGATTTACCCGGATAAGCATTTGTGCAAAGAAATGTGGTTCTCAAGCAGCCCCAAAATGTCTTAGGGTGGGAACTGGAAGAGAAGGAATGAAACAAGTCTGGCAGGATTCAGACGGTTCTTGGACCACTGGACTAACAGAAAAATTCTTCATCCCTATTTACATGGCGGTCAGGATTTTGAGTGAGTGATACTGGCTACATGGATGCCTTTACCCAATTAGGTAAAGTGTTTAAAGTAGTGTACAGCTAGATAAAGTGTTCAAAGTAGTGTTGTAACTAGGTGAAGTGTTGCAACTAGGTTACAACATTTTCCCAGTTGAGGAAGGCGACCCAGGCATCTCAGATCAACTTCCCCTTTGACTATCACACTGTATTTCAATAGAAGAAAAGGCTGACCGACTGGCGCCTCCTGTTTCACCTTCCTGTAGGTGGCAGGCTTGGTCTTGGGGAAACTCTCTGGAAGGCACTATTTTTACTTAAAACAAGATCAAACCAGAAACCTTTTCACGTGTGCGTCCTAAAACTGTAAGCTGGAACCATTTCATATGTGATTCCTGAAACTGTAACCTTTTCACGTGTGCGTCCCAAAACTGTAAACCGGAACCCTTTCGTATGTGATTCCTGAAGCTGTAAACGGAGACCCTTTTCGTATGTGATTTCTAAAGCTATAAACCTAAGATTCTTCCACGTGTAATATCTTAAGTATAAGCCTAGATAAAGGCAAAACCTTCCCTTGTTAGATGAGCAAATTTGGACAGATAATTTCCTCAGCTCCCAGCTGTAATAATAAACTCTTTCCTCCTGTATTCAGTGCTCAGGAGATCCGTTTCCCGCGACTTTTCCTGCTGCACAGTAAGTGTGCAACTGTGCTAAAAACATTGATTCCACTTCTAGAAGCAGCACAAAACTCAATATTCAGAAAGCGTTTGTACATAAGATGAATTTGATTCAATATATTAATTAGAGAAAAACAAACCTGAAATATCACTAGATCAGCCTCCTGAACCTTTTTCTGCTCATCAGTGATGTCGCCAGGCAGAGACCTTTTCTTGTAGGCTTCGTACATTTCCACTCCATAACTAAAAACCTCAGGATTAGAAAGTGCACCTGCGTGGGGGAAGAGGCCAAACATTCTCACTCTTAGGTGGGCATCTACAGCCCATCCCCACCATCCCGGTAGCCCTGTGTATACCAGGCTTCTCAGAGCAAGTCAAAGACATTTACTGCAGCCTGACCAGAAGCTGGACCCTGGGTCCAGGCTAGGGAAAGAGAAAGAGTCTGGGAGGGCCAATGATTGAGCACTTCCTACCTAGCAGGTGCTGTGCTCCATATATATCAACTTTCTTCATAACAACTGGGGAGACTGGTGTATTTCTCAATTTACCAGAGAGCAAACTGAGACCTAAGAGAGGGTGGATGTCTTGTTCAACGCCAAACAGGTCTAAAAAAATAAACTACATTCTAATGTCATGCCCACCCCCACATTTTTGAGTATTTGTGTCTCAATTTACATATTTTATATTGCTTATCACTGGCTCTTAACAGGTCACCATAGTGATTATTGTTTTTGATAGATTTTTCTGTTAGACTTCATACTAGGATGAGTGGGTTGCACACAATTACAGTATTAGAGTGTTCTGTGTACTGACGTTTACCAGTAGTACCACCACCAGACCCATATTATAAGAAATGCTCAAGGGAATTCTTCAATACAAAGGAAAAACACTAATGTGCAAAAAGAAAACATTTGAAGATATAAATGTTTAAAATAGCATTTTTAAGGAAATTCACTAATCTTTGTTAATTATCTGATACATTTCTGAATTGCTTTTCTGTGTCATCTTGAAGATTAGTGAATTTCCTTAAAAATGCTATTTTAAATTCTAGTCAGAGAGCCCAAACAGAGCCGTCTCACTAGATTCAGTCACTGGATCCTTGCTTTGTCTGTCTGGAGAGGTTCCCTGTTTACTGTTGTTTCTTGTGGATGACATCTATTTATTTCAGTCTTTTAAGTCTGACTTGTTTTCATTTTCATTACATATATTTGTTTAGAAAGTCTTTGCAATTTTCCTATTAAATTTCTTTTTTTCCCCCTCTACTAAGTCACTGCCTCCTTTTCGGCACTAGATGGTGGCTTATGCCCAGTTTTACCTCAACTGTAGTAACTGATCAGAGTGCTGCCAGTCCTGAATATGAGACTTTCCAAAGGGAATAGCCTGGGAAGTGTGGGAAGGCTGGGTGGCAGTTCATGCCCAGGGGACCTGCTGAATGTACCTCCTGCAGTGTGGTGCTGCTGAGCAGCCACTCTGGTTTGGCATCTGCTTTAGCTAATTTACAGATCAGGTTTTCAGGGCTGGGGATGATACTCCCATCTCCCTCCATCGTCTCTGGCTGTCGTCAGGTATATTTCTCCGTTTAGGCACTCCTGATGCTTCTCTGGGGTTGAGGCAGGAAAAGGTCTTCTTCCAGTGAACTCAAGAAAATCGGGAAGCTGACTGTCCACGTTGATCTATTTTTCCACGGTAGAAACTGTGACTTGGGAGGAAGCTTCCCACACAGTTGGTGCTGGGTAGTTTGAGGAGATGTGTTGTGGATATGAAAGTGCAATTCTCTTACCATCTGCTTGGAGTTTTTTCACTTATGTGTGCTCTTGGGAACTATTTCATCCTCATATTTGACTTCTTGGATATTGCTGGAGATAACCTCAGTGCTATGTATTTGTTTTTGGTTTTTCTGTGGAGGAAAGTGAAGCTAGCTTGCTTCTACCATGCCATTTTGCAGCTGGAAGTCAACATTTTTTAAAGTAAAAAGCACAAAGATGGTTTTTACAAATAGAGCATTGATCACATGACTCACCAGTGATATCTTTCCTGGTGGCCCTCGGCTCAAAGTTCATGGCGTATAAATCAGACACTGTGACTGTGCAGCCCTGCCTGCTCAGTTCATCTACGGTCACATTCTTCAAGGATCCGTTGAAAGACCTGGGTTCCTGGTGCGCATAGACAATGAGTACCTTCTTACCTAAATCGGGATAAAAAACAGTTCCTCTTGAAGAGCAACTTCTCTCAGTCAAATTAAATGAAGACTAAGATGAAAATGGAATGTTTAGGTGCATCATAGTAATTAAAGCTAAGAAATACTGAACTTTCTTTTCTTCCTCTCTTGTTTTTTATTTTTTGAGACAGTCTCGGTATTGCCCAGACTGGAGTGCAGTGGCGCAATCTCAGCTTACTGCAGCCTCTGCCTTCTGGGTTCAAGCGATTCACATGCCTCAGCCTCCTGAGTAGCTAGGACTACAGGTGTGTGCCGCCACGACCAGCTAATTTTTTGTATTTTTAGTGGAGATGGGGTTTTGCCATGTTGGCCAGGCTGATCTTGAATTCCTGGCCTCAAGTGATCCACCCGCCTTGGCCTCTCAAAGTGCTGGGATTACAGGCATGAGCCATCATACTTGGCCAGAAACACCAAACTTTCTAATAGGTGGCAGTTTTAAAGTAATGGGTATTTAAAAAATTAAGTTATTCATAGCTCAACATCACTTTGGATTACTAACATACAAAAATACAATGGGTCAAATTATGTCTCCTCAAAAATACCACCACTATCTCCTTTAAAAAACAACTTAATTTTGTTATCCCCCATGAGAAGGTTTAGACCAGCTCCCTAACACCAAAATAAAAAACTGCTGGAATTAATCTTCCATGCTAACCCTACGTTTGTAGGCGTCAGCTACAGGCACCTTTCGGTGTGGCATGGTTCTGCTTCCATCTCCCCAGGTTCATCAAAATCTGACACTTAAACAAAGCATGAGGAATCAGACCTCCTGGTCTCGAGGGAAGGCAGGGCCACATGGAGCCCAGCTTCCTGTGGCGATGCTGATGACAAAGAGGACTCTAGAGTCATGCTGTGACATGGCAATTGCCCCATAAACTGCATACCTCGACCATACCTCGGCTTTCCATCGAAACTGCTCTCTGTAACCCTAATGTGACAGGCAAGCAGTCCAAACCCAAGCCATCTTGGCCCCTGCAACTCGTAATAAGTAACTAAGGTCTGTAACTTCTACTCTACCCAGACAATGTGTAAACTCACAATTATCTTGACTTCTGTGAACCACTTAAGTAACAATCGGAATGTCCAAAGTCCCCTGGCCCTCAGAATGTCCAAAGCCCCTCACCCTCACCCCCGCCCAGGAGGTGGTTTACAGAATGTCCAAAGTCCACTGGCCCTCAGAATGTCCAAAGCCCCTTGCCCTCACCCCCGCCCAGGAGGTGGTTTACAGGCATAAAAGGTCTTGACACCCTCCTTTCGGGGCCATGGGTTAGAGAGACGCGAGTCCTCCACAGCCGCCGGCGATAAAGACCCTGTAGTTTGGCCTAGTCTTTGTCTTGGTGGTGATTTTGTGCTCGCTCGGATACAACACTTGGAGCCCCCAGCAGAAATTTTCCGTCATCACTCAGACAAAATCCCTGGAGTCTTGCCCAAGCGGCCGCCCCCACCTTGGGGATCTTTAGGGGAGGCGCCCCCTGAGATGTTCCAGGGCCCCAGAGTTCCGGCCCTGGACGGGCAACTACCCGGCCGACATTGACCCGAAATTCCTCAGGGTCCCGGGAACCTCTGCAGGTAAGTCAGGTCTGGAAATTGGGGAACCGGGCCATCAGGAGCCTAAGTCAAGAGATCGGATGTGGTCGTTAATCTCTGACTAGGCAAGCCTACCGTGAGACGTCACTGGAGGCTCGGGTAATTCAGTTTTCGGTTGTCTTCCATAACCTTGGTGTGAGTGAGAAAGTGAGTGCATATACGTGTGGTCCCACAGCCAGTGGGCTATGGGACCTGTGAGGGCCTTCACCTGTGGTTCCATGGAGATGTCATAGGGCATAACGGTGATTCACCTCTGCGGTGACCAGGCCCAGGGTTTATACAAGTACACCTTAGCCAAGACGCTCTGAAATATCCCTTCAGGGATGTGGCCAGGCAGGCATCAGATTGGTCTCCCATGGGTGACACCCACCCTGGGTCTGTCTACCTCTCACATGGTGCTGTCTTTTTTTGTTGTTGTTTTTTGTTTGAATGGAGTTTCACTCTTGTTACCAAGGCTGGAGTGCAATGGTGCAATCTTGGCTCACTGCAACCTCCGCCTCCTGGGTTCAAGCAATTCTCCTGCCTCAGCCTCCCAAGTAGCTGGGACTACAGGCACATGCCACTATGCCCAGCTAATATTTGTATTTTTAGTAGAGGCGGGGTTTCACCTTGTTGACCAGGATGGTCTCGATCTCTTGACCTCATGATCCACCCACCTTGGCCTCCCAGAGTGCTGGGATTATAGGCATGAGCCACCGCGCCCGGCCGTGGTCCTGTCTTTACTGTAGATTCTCTAGTTTTCTGAAGTGCTTATTAACTTATCTGCGGTGGTTTAGGCCTGCCTCACTAAGGCCAGATGATGTTCTCAATTGGTTAAATGACCATTGGTTGCAGGGGACTTTCACTGACTTTATGCCCCTAGAAATAACTTTATTCTCCTTCTTCTTCCTCTTTCACCATTAGGCCCCTCCTTTTCTCCTTTAAATGTCTGCGAGGCGATTCTGCCCCCCGGCAACTCAGTTGTAGCTTTTTCTGGAATCTTAAAAGTCAGATTCTAAGGAAGACAAGCAAGAACTGTTTGTCCACCTAGAGCAAAAAAAAAAAAAAGGAAAAAGAGAGAGAGACCACTGTATATTCTGTCAGAAAGTGGTTAAGTATTGTTGTGGGTCCTGCTCCTACCCCCACCTGATCTCCGACTTTTGGCATCACCCCTGGTGTTGGGAGGCTGGCTGCCACCCACCAGTTAATACTGACTGGAAAAGGTTTTGTAATCTCTGTAAGCGTGGTGAATTCAAACTCACACCCGCTTAACTTGCTGGCCAATTTGTTCATTGTTTTGTCGCTTTCCAACCTTCCCTAAGCCCTCGGACTCCAGGGCACATCTAAGGGAGGATCCTACCGAAGCGGTTTTTATCTCCTAAAAGCTCACCATTCACCGCTGTGGTCCCACGCGGGTGACATCTACCTGCACCCCTGGCTTTCTCCCGTCTCCTTGCCTTGCACCAGGGATAGGCCCATCAAGCTTGTTGCCCCCTCCTTACAAGACCTTGCTGCAGAGGCATACTTAAAACCAGTGCTGGAAAGGGCAAGGCCCAAGTACAACACTTTCCAGAGCTGGAAGTGCTATAGAAGCAAACAGGTCCGGGTAACAACTGGTAGGTTAAGAAAGAAAAACAAACACCAGATGGGATCATCTGGTTCCCTGCCCTGCACTCCCCTCCAGTGTGTGACGGCCAATTCCAAGGCTGGATTTTCAGGCCAATATGGGGTAAAACTAACCCTGAGAAAACTCTGCACCCTGTGTAAATTGTAGTGGCCATCGTTTGGGGTACAGTGGCCAGACACTGGGACATATAATCCCAAGGTAACACAGGCTGTATGGAATGTGGTGACAGGTTCCCCTGGGCACCCAGATCAGTTTCCATACATTGACCAGTGGCTAGGCTTAGTTCAACAGCCCCCCTCTTGGCTTAAATGCTGCATTAAGCATGCTGGGTTACAAGTTATGCTGGCAGGCCCTAAGAAAGCCCCTTCGGTGCCAGTCGTATTCCCTTCCGAGGCAGCAGATCAAGAATTACCTCCACCATACTCAAGGCCTCCCAAATCCGGGCCTCAGCATCCTCCCCCGGACAGCACCAGTAACCAATCTTTCTCCCCTCTGCACACCCATAGCGGGGCTCCACACCCACCGGCAGTCCTTCCTCTCTGAGAGGCACCCCCAATGGGAGAAGACAATCGGGGTCGCCCATTCTTTGTTCACATCCCCTTCTTGTCAGGTGACTTATATAACTGGAAGGTGATAGAAATTAAAGAGAGGGCTGAAACACTAGGTGCTGGAACAGGCTTTATTAAGAGCAGGGGAAAAGCTGCCAGGCTGCACCCAAAATGGGCACGCAGCACCCATGGCATAGCAAAAAAAATTTTTTTATGGCCTGTAAGCCGGCAAATGCATCCGGTGTGAGGGGCTGTGCAGGAGGGGAGGGGCTGGGGAACTGCTGAGTTTGATAGTTCCCAGGAAGGAGTCATGCTAGGGAACTGCTGAAATAGTTCCCGGGAGGGGGTTGTGCTGGGGAATGGTAAGAAGGCGAGAGGTGGAGGGTTAGGGACCTGCTCAGATGGAAAGTTCCGCAGGGGCGGGGCGTGGTGGCTCACGCCTGTAATCCAAGCACTTTGGAGGCCAAGACGGGCGGATCACCTGAGGTCGAGAGTTCAAGACCAGCCTGACCGACATGGTGAAACCCTGTCTTTTTATTTAAAAAATTAATTAATTAATTAATTAATTAATTAATTTAAAGAAAAAGAAAGTTCCCTAGGAGGGGGTTGTGCTGGGAGGCTGGGAAACTTGAGGTGGCAGTGGGGTTTAACATGAAGTAAGTTCTGTCAGAAGGCTCAACATCCCCCATTCTCTGAGAAGCCTCAGGCTTTGACAGGGCTCTTGGAATCTGTACTCCAGACTCATGGCCCCACTTGGGACAACCGCCAACAATTATTAGTGATTCTGTTCACCACAGAGGAAAGAGGCAGAATTAGACAGGAAGCCCTGAAAGCCATCATAGGTCCAGGGGGAGGGACAGTAGAAGAGAACCGGGTCCAAATTGAAGAGGTTTTTCCCTCTACCCGACCCCAATGGGACCCCAACACCTCGGGGGGTCACCAGGCTCTGAACACTTTTCACTGGTATCTTTTAGCAGGGATTAAGGGGGCTGCTAGGAGGCCCATCCAACTCTCCAAGGTAGGAACAGTAACTTAGGTCCGCGGGAGTTGCCGGCTGCTTTCCTGGAACGCCTACAGGAGGCGTAGGGTACGTGTACTCCTATAGACCCCGAGGCCCCGGAAAATCAATGGGCCATTAACTTAGCCTTTGTCTCCCAGTCAGCCCCAGATATCAGGAAAAAGTTACAAAAACTAGATGGATTCCAGGGAATGAATTTGACCCAATT